TTTTTATGTGGATTTAGAAAAGCACCAGCTTTACACTTATGATACTATTTAAAGTTTCCATTTCAATTTTTTTAAGTTTGAAGTTGAGTTGCTTTAAAAATACATTAAATAAAAATAACTAAAAATGCTTTTCAGATATATCAAAAATAAGAAAGTCCAAATTTGATTGACTGAATTTTGGTATACAATTGTTTGATAAGTGTAGTATTTTTAAAATGAAACATACTCTAAGCAAAAATTACAATAGCTTATTGAATTTCATTGCTCATAAAAAGGAGAGCAACAAGATTAGACTTAGGAAGTAAAAAAATGGACATATGTTCAAATTCAACATACAGGCTATTTAATGGACATATGCTCAAATTCAACATACAGGCTATTTAAAACAGATCTCAGAAATTGCTATTTCACTCAAAATACTTCATATTATATGTATAATAGATAAGGAGTTTTAAACCATTGAACCACAGCTATTATCAGTTATCGATGTTAACAATAAACAATTCCTTAATATCAATTTTTCCAATGTCTATTTTCTTCCAATTGTCTGAAAAATGGCCTTTTCAATTGGATCCAAAATTCAAGACTTTGTAAGTGATAAACTCTAAAATAAAATACTGTAATTTTAATTTCTATAATCTCTGAATCAGAGTTTAGGAGACTTTCGACAAATGCAAATTGCTATAAAGTTTCCTTTGCAAAAACTCAACCGCTTCCACAAAACCGATAGGCTCAATGTTTGCTGTTAATACTCAGGGTGGAGGAGAGGGAGAAAAACGAGCTGCAAAGGAAAATAGAAGTTAAATAGAAGGAAAGGAAATGTTTTGTGAAATAGCCTTCAAATAGATAAAGGGAGATGAAGCCATGAAGACTGGCCCTTTGACTTTCTGGGTTTGCTGGAGGAAGAGCTAGAAAACTGAAGAAGTTTGTCAACTCATCAGATTTTTGTTATTTTCTAAATTAAGTTTTTGTATGCAAATTATAGCCCAGAGAACAGCGGAAAGGTGTTGAGAGATGCTGTAGTTGCAAATCATAGTTTTTCTTTTACTAATTAAAACAAACATTATACAATGCCTTTATTTTCGAAAGCTATTAAATGGGAAATATGGATTAGAGGAGGAAATCACAGAGGGATTCTAAAATAAAAAGGATGAAAATTAAAGAAAAAAGCATTATTGGAAAATAAAAATTAAGGTGCTATAAACACAGTGGAAGCTTAATCACATGGAGTTAATATTCCAGTAATGGTTGTTCTGAGCATATGCCAATCTTGTTGCCTCCTCCATGGAATTTTCTCCTTGTGCTAATAAAATTATAGTAAAAAAAAAATGTATTTATAAAATAAATGACTCTCCTCTAAAGCCTTACACAGTTTAGTTCTGGTCCCAAATTTATATACCTCAAACAGCAAAACCAAAGCTCTGCAGTTCCACAGAATTCTCCTTTTTAGTGACCATCTTTTATTACTGAGTATGTCCCATGGGTGGCTGTCTCTTGTTTAGCAGCTTATCAAAGCATTTTTTTTCAACCACGTACTCTCCTTTAAAAAAAAATCTTTACATCTGCAGAAAGATCTTAGCATACCAGTAATGTTTTGTTATCCTTAAGAGACTGACATCATATCCCTTCATCCAACTCTCCTCATATAGCATTGATCTATTTTGTTGGCTTTGTTGCACGTTACAAGTATTCTACACAATATCAGGTAAGCATGCAATTGGCCACTGATTATTTCAAATTAATCTCTAGGCTTTCTTATTTTGTGTCTCTCAATATTCAAAAAAAAAAAAAAAAAAACAATTATTGCTCCAGCACTTCTAAATCCGGAAGGCGATTCGTCAAAGGTCACTAAGACCATGACTTCAGTTTTATATTCAATGGAAAATATAAACATTGATTATTTATTAAATATAGAGGGTCATAATTAAATTGCTTACTGGAGAAAGGGACATTTCCTTAATTTTCTTTATGGTATCCCTTAAACAGATTTTCCAAAGGGAAAAACTCTCCCAAACAATAAGGTGATAAAACTAAGAAACTTGCTTGCATTCATTGATAATTTCAGTGCTTTTGAGCAACACCATTTTTATCTCGTTTATATAAAAATCTGACGTCTTGACTGATATTCATTATTTGCTTCTTGAGTGCAATAGAAAGTATAGACTGGCATAATTTTAAAAGGGAAAGTAACTATTTTCTAAATTCACAAATACAAATAAATTTTGTTTACCACCAAACTATTTCATTTTGTAAACAGATACTACTTTTATTCCATTTTCCCAAAAACATGTTTAGTAAAACAAAAAATATATATATACTATTTTGCAGGATCCAGTATTAAATTAAAAAATAAAAAAAAAACCTGCATAGATTTATTTTGTACAAAATCAAAGAGCAAAATGAATTTAAAAGATTCATTTGGAATATATATTCTACTTCCTTTCTTTGTTCTGATTTAAAATATATCATTCTCTATCGAAAGTGGGGTTTCATAGACTATATATGTTCATTGTTTCATTTTCTCTTATACAATCCTGAAGTATTTCACATTTTGCCTTCAATACAATATTCTGGATAGTTTTCATTTCATTGTCCACATGAAAGCTGTTTAGTGCTATCCCAGCTCTATTTCATTTCTATGAAAGATACTGAATTTTAAAGTTGTCTTTTGTAAAAGTTGTGCTCCTAACACAAAGGAAAAACAAAAATTGAAACTATGAAACTGAAAATTAAATGGGAATTTATGGTCAGGTAAAAAAGAAATAGGCTAGACCTACAGAGTCATTGCTGTAGAGGTCACATACCACGTGAGCACTGGGTACACAGATTACCCTGTCTTTACAGGCACCTCAAACTCACAAGTCTTATCCTCAGAAGTGGGAGTATATTTCAAATTTTCTAGAGTTTCTGATGGGAGGCATCTCATCATTGTGAGCAACATGAGCTAAAGTACTAGATTTTTCTTTGAAAATTGAAATCTCATTATTACCCCATTCTTCTAGGGTCTGTCAAAAATCTGATATCAATAGTAACCCAGACTCACAGTTTCACTTAGCCATTAAATCAAATGTAGCTAATGGGCTATAATCACAGATAGGCTTTTGTGCCCTCTGCTGGATGTTCAAAGTAAAGGCTACACTCTTCAACAATAAGAAAACCTCATTTTTAAAATGAATGCCCTTTAACATGGAAAGAAAACAAAACCTAGTCTTATCAAAATTAAAATCTGAGACACTGTTAAATAGAATTTTAACAATTTATCAATGAACTAAGATGCAGGCAAGTATTTACAGATATTATATTACAGAAAAGGAACACAGGTTTATCTTTATAAATTTTATTTTTAAATGTCATGATTACCATATAATAAATTAGTTTTATTATTGTATTGTTTGCAGTAGTTTCCAATGGACCACAAGAGCACCTGATACAGAACTTTCAAGTCTCTGTCTGGAGGTTTCAGCAAAGTGGTATAGAAACTCTAGTATCATTAAAAATAATAGTAAGTGTGTTGAAGAAATATATCCAGACCTTGTTTAATAATGAACATACAACAGTCATTCAGTAAGTATTTCTTAGACAATAAATGAAAATGTAACCTGTGATATTTGATAAGATCTTTGTCAGAAAAGTTTCTATGAAAATAAACTCTTTCTCTATTAGCCCTACCCATCTGCCTAAACCCCATCCTCGCACTTCTTCTCCTGCCTCCATAAATAAACCAAACAAATACACATCAAGCAGGTAGACTTGCACTGACACATAAATGCAACGCACTTAAAAATAAATTCCAATTGCTTCAACCGGGACTTAGACTAACTTCTTCCAACTCCAGCTGCTGAATCACTAGTCCGGTTCCCAGATGTGCTCGTACTTTTCTAGGTGTTAATTATAACCACTGCTTATTTTGTAACTGGAATGGATTTTAACTTACATAACTTATAGGATATGAACAAAAATTTAGAAACATGAATAAAAAATAAAATCACCTGTAACCCTACCACTTAAAGACATTTATATTTAACTTTTTATTTTTCCTTCTAGTATGATTACCTTTGTTTGTTTGCAATTGCAAAGTATAACTTTGCCGAACATTTATTTGTTTAACGTTATATTTCTATTTATTAAAGTAACACATGCATTTAGTTTTAAAAGTCAAATAGTCCTATAGGCCTATGATAAAAATCAGCACTATTCTGCTCTACCTAATCCCACATAGCTTTGTCTCTGAGCTTTATTTCTTGAGGCGATCATGTTCAATTCTTGAGTCTTTTGCTTCAGGTATTATGATCTAATTTTCAAATGATGTGCTTTGCCATTATTTCTTGATTTTTCTTTTAATTTTAGATATTATTCATTGCCTTCCCACAATCTGAGATTGAGATTTAGTTTTCTTATTATATCCTGTCACCTTCCTTCATACAAACCTCCTCCTCTGCTTAGCTTGTCAAATGAATAACCTCTATTTTAAAATTCAATATTAATTATTTTCATCATTCATAGCTTAACCATTTTTGAAAAATTAATTCAGCTTTTCATTTGTCTCTTTCTGATTCTAGCTCTGGATATGTCTGAATCTCTTCTTGGGTCATTGTTAAATTATGGTAATTTTTATTGACTCCATTCTAAAGGAGAGGACAGATTAAAATGGAAATATTGAGGCAGAGAAAGCTGTGATGTGTGTTAGGGTATAATCTTAACTTTAATTGATACCACTCTGCCCATTAATTAGTGTCTATATAAGTACTAATGGAGAAACATTATCTTAGTTGTATAGCACAAAAGTACAACACAGCAGTGATATACTGAATCTACTAATTTATTACTGAAACATCTTCATGAACAAAATTATTTCCCACACTCATTCTTTTGTCTATTTGTCCTTTTTCAGACTATATTCACTGGTTCTTGGGAATTCCTCCCAATGAAAAAGAAATTGTTCCTAAATTGGTGTTTTGGACTTAAAAATGTTTCTACTATTTTCAATTGATGATCCAAATCTAAAATTGGCTCGATTTCAGAATTTCTTCATATGGAGGTGGAGAGCCTAAAGTGCCGAAACATGGAATAGGATATAGTTCAAGGTTATGAGTTTGAAGGTGAATTCCAACAGTTGGATTCACAGCAGCTTCTGTCTCTGGAAAGAGAAAATAGAAATTCATAACCTTTCTACTCAGCATAAAACAGTGCTTAGTAAAATATGATGTTTCTTGAATCACTGGAACAACAAAAAATTATATGTACACTTGGGAAAAAATTTACAATCACCTTAATCACTTTAGCAAAAAAACGAATTACTCTCAAGAACTGATTACAATAGTCCCTCCTTATTTATAGCTTTGCTTTCTGCAGTTTCAGTTACCCAAAGTCAACCAGGTCAAGAATTATCAAGTAGAAAGTTACAAAAATAAGTAATTCTTAAGTTTTAAATTGCATTTTGTTCTGTGTGATGAAACCACATACCACCCCCCTCAGTCCTGCCCTGGAAATAAATCACTCCTTTGTCCAGCATATTCATGCTGTATGTACTACCTGCCTATTAGTCACTTAATAGCCATCTCAGTTTTCAGATTGACTCTTGAGGTACTGTAATGCTTGTGTTCAAGTAATCTTTGTTTGATTTAATAATGGCCCCAAAGCCATTCAGATAACTTTTATTACAGTATATTGTTATAATTGTTCTCTTTTATTATTGTTGTTAATCTCTTACCATCTAATTTGTGAATTAAACTATCGTAGATACATATGCATAGGAAAAAAATAGTATATATAGCATTTGGTACTATCTGTGACTTCTGACATCCACTGGGAGTCTTAAAATATATCCCTTGTGGATAAGGGGAGACTACTGTATATCATAATTGATTAACCCATCAAGAAGCATTTACAATTTAGCAGCTTAAACTAGAAGAAATATCCTATAAACATTAATGATGTATTAGCTAATGCTCCCATCATGGGAAATGCAAATCTCGCTAGACACATTAAAATAGTACATCTGAACATTATTTTATATTTATGCTCTGAAAACTGAAACTAATGAATTTATTACTTTAAACAATTCTCTATTGTGAATAATAAAAATGTTAAATGGCGAAAAGTTTGCAATAAAAGTACACGAGATTAAAAAAAAGACAATCTTGAAATTAAATTTTTAAAATCAAAGCCCTTGATTTTTAGATTATGCACACTACAAGCCATGAAGTATCAAAAATAAGCATTTTATTCCTCAAACAGATCACCTTGAAAGACCATGCACTTATTCCAATAGCTTTATTGAAAATTTTTCATTAGCATTTCCTTAAAAGACTGTTTCTGAGTCACAGGAAATCAATGGTAATATTTTATAACCATTTCTCTCTTCATTTTTTTTTTTTCATTTTTTTCACTTGGGTCTTTACCTGTCTGGGAATGATTTGATTGCTTCTTCCCAAAACAATAGTAATAACCATAAATTCACCTTTCAAGAAGAAACTAGGCCCTTAAATCAAATAGTTAAATCCTGTGACTGGTTTTGTATATTAAATTTAATTGTAACACAGCCATGCTCATTCATTTATGTATACATTGTCTCTGGCTGTGTTTTGCATTACAGAGCAGGGGTAAGTAGTCCCACAGTAACTTTATAGCCTGCAATGCCAAACATATTTCCTACCTAGCTCTTAATAGAAAAAGTTTGCTGTCCTCTTCCTTAAAGAAGTAAAATTTAATATCGTCAAAGAGATTCCAAAGGCCATGATACAATATCAAAACAGTCCAGAGTAGTTATATATTAAGCAATAGCTGTATTATTGGAATCCATATGTGGATTACTAAAAATTATTAGTTTGAAGTGAATAATGTTTATTTAAAATTATGGAGATTTACATATTTATATTTGTCTTATTTCATGTCCCACTGGTTTGCAGAGCAAAGCATAATAATTCAAATATTAATGTAATATGTAAAGAGTAATGCTACATTTAAAATATGTCTCACCTGGTTCAGTACTTTTCTTAAGGAGTTATTTATTTAATTGAATAATCTACCCCTAGGCTATAATATAATCTTTCGGTATCTATTTTCATTTGTGCAATAAAAGGATAATGGTAGTATCTACATCTATAAAAACAAGGCTAAATGAATGTAAGGTTCTCAGAACAAAGCCCAGCACACAGTTATTACCCATTAATGGTTAATTATCATTAGTGGTATTATAAATATTAGTATTATAACTATATATCAAGAACCGTTCTATGCAAGAAATATAAATATTTTCTCTTATTTAAATCACTTTCCAATCTACCCTATTTTAATGGTCAAATAATATTTTAATCATTATCATTATTAATATTAGAACAGAAATTATTAAATGAAAAATTTTGTAGAGTTAGAGTTAGAAAGGTTAGGATGATGTAAGCAAAGTCTGGGGGGACTTGATAAAATGAGAGTTAATATTGGTAAAATGTATTTACCTCAGTGCTTCTTTCCATTGTGGATACCTGTACTGAGCCCCCACCCAATTTCCAGGTGAATTGTTCCTCATGTATTCAATACAAACTCAGTGGTAACTTAGCTGCAGTTCTGCTTGGAGTCCTTGACCAGATTGATTGACACGATTATTAGCTCAAATATATTTCCACAATTACCATTATTAATATTGTGCTCCGGGCAACAGTACATTGACAATTGCTCTCTGTGGTAAAAAATTTCGTTAACTCTTTACTACGTATTTGACCATTGCTCTTAAATTTGTTACAGAAACCACAAGGCATTCATTTCATAAACATAACTAAGCCAATGTGCTCAGAGAGCTTTTGTAAAATCGAACATACGTTTTCGATTTTTTAAATCATGTTTACACATATAATATCATGTAATTGGGAGGGGAGCAAGCATTATTTTTATCTTTTGTCAAATTAAGAACCTGAGAGAAATAAATTAAAAATGCCTGCAAAAATCCTATGGTTTTGACAGAATTGTTGTGAAGGTATTAGAGTTTGTGGTTTAATTGTGTAAAACTGATACACTCACTGCTGAGTTTTTATAGCCAGATTTCAGATTTCCCACATCACTAAGAATCACTCCAATGAATGTAGCTTATTTCAACATGTCTTTTCTAGCTTTTTTTGGTCTTTCCCCTTCTATATCTCATCTTTTTATATGGAGTAGCTAAGAATGCCTGATTTTGAGTCACAGTTCTACCACCTACTATGTTGCTTAATCTCTAAGTGCCTTTGTTCCATCATCTTTAGAGTATTCAGAATGATAATGGACTCCACTTAGAGGTGTAGGAAAAAATAGATTAGAGATGTCAAGCATTAACACAGAGCATGACACACGGTAAATGCTCAATAAATGTGAGTCATTACAATTATCATGCTCTTTCATGAAA